CCTCCCAAATGCCGGAGACCTGGAAAGAAGCGCGGTAGTGGAGAGAGAATAAGGAGACAAGTTGGAGAAAGGTAGGAAGGTAAGTAGGGTAACATGTGGTAGAGACCGAGGGTAAGGGAATGTGACCTGAACAAAGGAAGAAAAGTTAAGGAGAAACACAAGAGGCCAGGAAATCCGTTCTTTCCCAAGCAGCAGCAGCAATGAGGAGGGAATTAAGGATACACGTTGGAGGGAACAAGGGAGGACAAGGGAGGACAAGTGAGGAACCAGAGAGAATCATGTGTCCAAATAAGCACCTAGAGAGAAGAACAGCAAAAGAGAGAGAGAGAAAGAGAGAGAGAGAGAGAAGTAAGGGCACGAGTTGGAGAGAACAAGGGGGACAAGCACGGAGACAGACAGAGGACAAGGAGCATACTGTGCCCCGGAAGCACCCAGAGAGAACAGCCACATGTGAGAGTGAAGTAGAGAGACGAGTACGAAAACAGATGGGACTTGAGTCCTGCCCCCAAAGCCACCAGAACGAAGAACACTGAGCAATGGAGAGAGAAGTGAGGAACGGAAGACAAGGAGATTCCTTTGACCGAAAGCACCCAGAGAGAAGAATCGCAATGGAGATAGAGAAGTAAGGAGACAAGTTGGGAACAGACAAGGAGACAAGTATGGAAACAAATGGGAGGCAAGAAGAATCCTTTGCCATCGAGCACCACGAAGAGGATCCTGTGCCCAGAAGCACCCAGGAAGAAGAACAGTAACAGGGAGGGACAAAAAGAAATGAAGAGGTCCTAAAGCCTAGACAAAACAGCAAGTAGGAAAAAATTGGCTAAATAAGGACACAGATGGGAACACATGGGAGACAAGGGGGAATCTTGGGTCCCAAAAGCGAGAACAACAGGAATGAGGAGAGAAGTGAAGAAAGCGCTGGGAAAGACTACAGGGACAAGGAAGGAAAGAAAGGAAAGAGGAGAAAAACTATCCTCTCCGTCCCAAATGCCGGAGACCTGGAAAGAAGCACGGTAGTGGAGAGAGGATAAGGAGACAAGTTGGAGACAAGTAGGAAGGTAAGTAGGGTAACACGTGGTAGAGACTGAGGGTAAGGGAATGTGACCTGAACAAAGGAAAAAAGGCAGGGAGAAACACAAGAGGCCAGGAAATCCGTTCTTTCCCAAGCAGCCGCAGCAATGAGGAGGGAATTAAGGATACACGTTGGAGGGAACAAGAAAGGGCAAGTGAGGAACCGGAGAGAATCATGTGTCCAAATAAGCACCTAGAGAGAAGAACAGCAAGAGAGAGAGAGAGAGAGAAGTAAGGGCATGAGTTGGAGAGAACAAGGAGGACAAGCACGGAGACAGACAGAGGACAAGGAGCATACTGTGCCCCGGAAGCACCCAGAGAGAACAGCCACATATGAGAGTGAAGTAGAGAGACGAGTACGAAAACAGATGGGACTTGAGTCCTGTCCCCAAACCACCAGAACGAAGAACACTGAGCAATGGAGAGAGAAGTGAGGAACGGGAGACAAGGAGATTCCTTTGACCGAAAGCACCCAGAGAGAAGAATCGCAATGGAGATAGAGCAATAAGGAGACAAGTTGGGAACAGACAAGGAGACAAGTATGGAAACAAATGGGATCAGAAAGGAGGACGGTCGCATTATACCAAAAGGTCCCTGCCACATATATATATATATACATATATATTATTTATATCCTACATCAACCAAATCCCTGAAAAAAACGGGTCGAGGTATCAAAACCTAGTTTTGAGCTATAACACGTTTTAGTCAACAAAACCTGGTTTTTGATGAAGCAGCTTCGCCACAACCCGTAGAAACACCGTCGAAAACTTGTAAAAACTCATCAAAACCAAAAAAAAACGTAAAAACCGTAGTCCAAAACCGACCAAAAGCTTGGTTTGCCGGGGCCACCAAACCTTGTTTATTTTTTGTAGGGTTAGAATGCCTCCGGAGCATATGCCCCCAAAACTTCTAAATTCTATATAGATTTTCAATATATAAATGATCATGGGAGCCAAAACAGGCCCCCCCCTAAGTACCCCCCCTCTACCAAATTAAAAATAAGACCTTATTAAGGCCTTATTAAGGATCCACCAAAATAGTCATGGAATAAGGCCAAAATAAGGTAAGAATCTTATTCCTGCCTTATTTCAGCCTTATTTTGGGAAAACCAGTAGTGTAATACATATAAGCAAGTAAAACCTTATTCCTCCCTTATTTAGTGAAAATTTGGTAAAACACAACACCAACCAAGAAAACAAACCATTCATTATTTAGATTCCCGTACGGTCAACACAAGTAGGTGTAGAATGTAGTGTTTCAATGGGCATATTGACAATATTATTGTTGCAAACCCGATGTAATAAGAGGTTAAACAGTTTCAACCATTTTAGAGGCTACATAATTACTTACTATGTTTAAATATTTACAGGTATGCAAATCCCAATGCTAAATTTCCCCAAAAAAGGCATCCAATTCTTGGTCGTCAAAGCACACATGTGTTCAAATCGGAATAGGCATAGTCATAATTGTTAATAAGGAACAAATTAAGGTCACCCCAACTGACTGAGGAAATAAGTTTGCTTTGTTGGTGGTTACGTCATTAAAATTCGGCGCAACATAATCATAAGTGTTCACCACAGCCATGAATTTATTTATTAAGTAAATATTGTTTTTAGAAACATTTCGGTTACAGACGTGCTTGAACCGATAAAAAGAACCCCCTTGGTTATTTCAATCAGATTCTCTGACGTGGCCAAACCCATCGGCCACTTGCCATTTTTCCAGGGGCGTGTCGCTTGTCACAATTGTCAAATGTGAGAATTTTGAATGAGGGGAAGCTCAATCATCACCGAGTCAATGTCCATCAATTTTCAACGTAGCAATGTGGGCAATCAAAACATCATCTTTTGGCCTCAGATAGTACTGGTGTCATCCCCCGAAAAATGCAAACCATATCAAACAATACATCTGTTAAAATTGGCTTTATAAATGATACTATGATGGGGTATTTTGAAAGTAAGTAACAGCAAAAAGTTGAAAAATGCTTCCAGCTGACATTTCAAAGCATTTGTTTGGGTTCGATCGATTCCATCTTCTATATACCCATTCGAGGACTGTTCTGAGGGCATCCAGCGGTGTAGGGCAACGGGAAGTGTCCCATTGTCTCTGGCAAGATTCAGGCTCAAGAGCCTCACCTGATCAATCACATGAATGGTCTGCCAAAAAATGATAGGGCTCCATTCCTCCACTTTAGTACTTACTAATGTCAACCCCAGAAGAATAAACCATGGTTTATTAATTAATAGAGGGGTACTCCTCCAATAGTCATAATCTAGTACTTAAATATGGTACCTTCCCAATTAAACTAGGGGTTTATTAATCCAGGGTTGACATTATTCATATGTTCAGGTAAGGTTCGGACCCTCACTGTCACTACAGTACTACAAGTCAAAACAAACATAATCGTGTTTCCAGGACAAAGGCGCCAATGGGGTAATCGGCTCTCCAAAACTTCTTGATGGGGTGGAATCTCATCCAAAACACGCCAGAAATCTCTCCACCACCCGGCAGTAGCGCTTTCAGCGCTGATGGAGTGAGATCGAACAGTCGATCATATTCCTTCTTCTTTGCAGTTTTTTCTTGTTCCTTGGCTTTTCGATTTTTTTTCTGATCAGCCTCCACGGCTGCAGGCTTTGGAGTTTCTGTTTTTTTGATCACTGAAGACCGGCCGGGCCCAAATACACGTTCTTCCAAACAATGTTCTGCATGTTTCTGTAAGTTCTTGAACGCATCTTTGTTGTCTAAATCCATTTCTGCGGCCATTGCAAGAACTGCAATGTCCACCTTCTCGTGATTCCGACCACACAAGTTGCTGACGCATTTTGTGAAAAAATCTTGGTTGCAATTTGGCCAGATGTGTGCAACCAACAGTTTTGCCCAATCCACTTTTTTCAAGGCACCGTTTTTGCCAGACCCTGACCCTGGTGCTGGTTTGATCTGCAGTGAGTGACATACCTGCTTCAATCGTTGCATGTTCAAGAACAAACCGTTCTCGATGGTTCCTCTCAGGATCCATTCCTGGTGGTTGTGCACAAGACATGCAAATCCGAAGTGATGGAGCGGCTCTGGCAAGCAAGCAGGGGGCAAGAGGGTGTGCGTCACGAATTTCCACTTGGTATCCTCACCAAAAGAAAAGTTGAAGAGTAGATCAGAGCCCAAAGTTTCATCAGCTTGGCCAGAATCGTGGAAAACATACATCTGGCAGGGAAGGTCAGGTGGGAAAATCTACTTTGGTCAGAAGAAAATACGTATTTAATACCATTTCAGAGATTTTGCCAGAAAATTGTTCCCTGATTTCACAGTCACAATAAACTATAATATAACTATAAATATACATATATATATATATATAACTTATAATGTAGTGTTTGCTGCATCCTTTCGCAGGTGAATCAAAATTCACATAGACCCAATCTTATTAATTATTATTATTATAGGTCATCAGTCGTGGTCAAAGAAGAAACCCATCATTCATTGACAAATCTCTGTCGCTATTGTTGTTATTTCGCAGGAAATGCAAAGTGCCAAACCAATGACAATGTAACGTCAACGACTCCCCTCAATTATTGTGTTTTTGATATTCTCACCACTGTTAAAATAAGATTGACGGCATTAGATACCCAGCCTGGTTGCCAATCACTGCCGTCCGCAAGTGAACGCCCAGAGCACACCAGCCATGGAAACCAAGGCTCAGGAAGTAGTCGTTGCTCCTGGAATCCCAGAAGATCTGCCCCCTCAAGAAGAACACACCTGCAGCTGCAGATTGCGTCTTGGCTCCCTAAGTCGTGGGTGGGAAATGTCCCAAGCCATTTTGTGGGGTGATATTATTAAATATATTAATTAGCCCAAGTTCATAATTCTATTAGACCATGGGCGGGATACTTAAATTAAATGGGTACCAGACAACGCCCCTAATTAATATCAGGCTGGTGGCAAGTCCAAAACAACTGTATGTTATTATCATGCCGTAAATTATTGTTCCATTTGGTCAGGGTTATTTTTTTAGATTTAATGATTTTTTAAGTGTGAGCTTGCCAGAGTTTGAATACTTTGGCTGGCCTGCCCATGCGTGGGGACAGTGTTGAAATTCGGTATCTTTGTCCTGTAACAAGTACGCCATGGCCGCTGACGATCTGTAATGTGACATGGGACCTGATAATCGCCACTGAGTTTTGGCCACCCCTTGTGCGTTTCTGGGTATGTCCACATCATCAGCTTTTGGAATTTTTGTCTTGGAGCCCTGGAATGCTCGATTGTAATTTGCAAACATATTGTCCGACGGAAGCCCAGATTGAAAACCATAGCGCGGAAGCCATGCGACCCAGTCAGATTGACTGGGGATGTTCTGCAGCATCCCACTTGCCCTCACAAAAGAACTGGTGGTAAGGTAAAACCAAAGGTTTGACATGGCCATGGACTTGTTGGTGGAATTTTTCGCCACGATGTGCGCCAAATAGCCAAAGGTTGACTCAAGTATTTCTTTGGTTGAAGATGATCCACCAGAAAATTTGGTCATGGCTTTTGTTACTTGGGTTGTACCAGGCTGGCCAAATTTGTAGCCAGACCTCTTCAAATTGATCATGATTTCTCGAGAGAAGCTTTCCTCCTGGAAGGCCAGGTCTTTCAGGCAGCTGGAAAGGTCCAGTCTTTCCTCGGCCAAGTTCTCAGCAGTGAAGATGGCTTCCACCATCTTTTTCAAGCGGGACATCCCTCGTTTCCTGTGCTGCTCATTCCCCGCAAGCAACGCGTTGGCCGCCAAAGGCAACGTAAGCCTGTGGAGCATCTCAGACCATGCGAAGTTGCCCGCCAAATGCACGCCAAAGCGGAACACTTTGCCAATGAGAATAAAATCCTCATCCAGTACTGCAGCGTCAGGGGGCAGTGGAGGAATGCATGGAGGTGACATTCGCATGACTTTTGACAAACCTGGGGACACAGTCACTTTCATGATATCCCTCACGACAGCAAATGATGATCCAAGGCTTCGTTGTGCATTCCACTCCAGGATCTCATCAAGGCCCTTCTGGTTGCTCTTCAGGTCGAACTGGTAGCGAAGGTGAAGTGGCCTAGAGATTCGGGTGATGAGTTCTGCTGATGCCCGCAGAGTTGGATCGTTCCTGGATAATGATGATCTCAACCCCTCCGGAAAATAATAGTCAGCTGAAAGTATTCCCAATCAATATTAAATGTAAAAATCAAAATGTTCCAAACCCTCACTAACCAGATTCATCACGTCACAATACATCTGATGTGACCCCTTTGACTTGTAAGCCTTGAAGAACTCACTTTTACTCATTGGTCTCATGGGAGCACCTGGCATGTCTGACTCTGGCGCTCCACCAGCAGGCTGAGACACATCACAGTTGTTGGGTCCTTCAAGATGCTCGGCAATGTCATCATCATTGGCGCTGTCGGTGTCACTGTCAGACAGGTCCTTGGGCGGGCAATAATATAATAAAATTGGGCTGGTTACTGTTTACATAAAGTCTACTTACTTACTGGGCTACCCTGGTCAAAAAACCTTTGAAATAAACAACGGAGAAAACACCCCTGTCAGTAACAAGTTGCAGCCCCATGGGACTCTGAAAGAATGGCGTTCGACGCCTCGCGCAGAATTGTCCAGTCATTTTTCAACAGAGTCAGCAGGTTGAGCACTCCAAACCAACTCTTGTTCTTCGCCTGGTTTTTCCAGGGCTAAAAAAACGTAAATGTTTGTTTTTGCCGTTGGCAATTTCCCTATACTATAATAACAGAAAAGACAACCCCAAAAAATGTGCCATTGGCCATCGAGGGTCATAATCACCTCTTTTTCTGATACTCGGACATTCCATAAAGTCTTCTACCAAAGCACGGCATGACTGAGCATCAGCTACATCTATGCCCCGGTCCTCTGCTATTTCAGCACTGATATCCTCAAACCATGCGTCGCTTTGTTTTGAAAGATAACTCTCCAACATGAGCCGTCGGTTTGTAGCACGCTCTCCAGTAAGTCTGGTCCCATGGCCATAGTTACAGGCAATTGTCAACCTCATCAAATCGAATTGTAACTGACTGTGGTCAGCTGCACGACGAAATGCGTTCCACTTGGGGTGACATGTCTCCGGTGTCACCGCCAAGCGCAACCCAACATAGGAACTCAGAAAATGGAGTGCTTTGTTCTGCACTCCCTCTTCGTCGCACACCTTGGTCCATTGGTGATTTGATTATCAGCAGGTGTTTGGTTTGTGTGATACTTTAATTTACTCTTTCACTTCACTCACGCTGTCTTTGGTTTGATAAAAAATAATAGAGGTTACGACCCTCAGCAAACCTTACAAACAACAGTATCATTGATTATTGTGTCGTTTATGTGTATCATCCCATTAATTAAATTTATCATTACAAGAATGACCGAATTTTCGCAACCAATCGAAAATCTGAAATATGACTGGGGACCCCGAATAATTATGATACAGAAACATTGGTTGGTTCACCAAAATTTCAAAATCAAAAAATGACAAAAGATTTAACTTAAACACCCGAAGATAGTGAATTTGATTCAATTCAAGCTACCACCCGTAGCACACCCCATGACGGGTCATCCACATCAGTTAGCTCAGCATCCAAACTTCCGTCTCCCTTGCACCAATCCCGTGTTGGCCGCGCCCACTGAGGAATGAAAAAGTCGAGACCTTTGGTGCCACCCGTCATCAAGTGCAGGGTGTGCTGTAGCAACTTGAGGATAGCCTCGGGCTGGGACGTACTAAACAGTACAGCGCTCACTGTGGGATATTTGGGCATCCTTAACTTATTTAATTAATTATCATATTATTATGATAGACTACGGAATTGGGGGTGACATTTCTTATTATGAAACCCAAGATCATTTGCTGTTGCATGTGTTTTTTTGTATGTCTGGGCCATTTTATCAACTATTTGAATTTGTGATTCCATGTCCTGATGGTCCCCAAAAAAGTAGGTGAGCTCATCTGACTGATCATATATAAAGTTATAATTTAATTTAGTTATTCAGACTGTATCGTTGGTAAACAAACACAATCAATCAAGCTGTAGTAGTACTTAGTAGTCAAACACATAAAAACTTTTATTTATTGACATGAAGGAAATCACCTTGCTGGTCCAAGTCAATTTTATTGGGGCTTCAGTAACCACGTGTCGTGTAATTGACATGCATTTCAGAAAGCCGTTCCAAATCGATTCCCCAGAATTTTGAATCAGCAGAATTTTGATTCAAAACAGGTGGTTTGTTATGATATGCAAGTAAGCTGGTCTATCTGATCAGGGTTGGGGAATTTTCCCAAGAATGATTTTCTTATGTTATCTTCTTCTTATTATTATGTTGTTATCATCATGATGGTTTTGTTTTCCTTGGATTGGCTGGTCCTGACACATCCGTCCCCAGTGGCAATGACAGGAAACCCTTAAATCCAGGTAGTCCCAGAAACCCTTAATAAGAAAAACCATCTACAAACACACAATGACCCCAAACCCCAGTCTTGTTTTTCTTGCCTTGATCATTGGATTGGAACCTCATTCTGTAATAGTTTCGATTCAATACATTAGTAACTTAACTCATAACTTCTCAATTTGCAAAGCAGGGGCCACCAATAAAGAATAACATTGTCAACCCATATCATTGGGGCGAATTTCCAACTGTGAAATTAAATTCCAATTTATATGATTTCATAAAAAATAATTGTTAGTTGGTGTGATTTTCAAAGTAGCTGCACAGCTGATGAAATAACTGAGGGACGGTCTGGGCCTCCAGACAAAGAATGCGGAGGAGTCCTTCTTTCCAATGGCAGGCCTAGTCATGGCTTTGGCTCATGATTGAGTGGGAGGATTGATTGGCTTAATTCAATTTAAATAACAAATCTATCGGCCAGGTAATTTAGTTGAGATGATGATCAAACATCATTGTCACCCCGCCTTAGTCTCAATGTGAGAACTAACGGTTGGGCATTTTCTACAACGTTAGATTACAACTGTCTTCATGGCAATTGATGGTCAATAGTTGTCTAACGACATGCATACCACCAATCCCAGCCTGAAGACGTCCTGGCCATCCATTCGTTCTGTAATCATCTTTGGAAGCACCTAGGGCCGTGTTGTGGGCTGTCAGAAACTTAGACTTAACTTACTGTTTCATTCCTGGGCCAAGATCTTTTAATAAGGGGATGGGGAATTGAGTCCAACCAAATTTTAATGCTAAGCACACCAGCAGCAGTTTTTTTGTGATTGTGGGCTGGACTATGGCAGCTCAAGCACGTCCCCTCTGCTACTGCGATTCAGCACGGGCAGGGATCTTGATAAATTTGATATCTGGAAACAGGGCTTCTGAGACGTTAAAATAGAGACGAGACTAATCTATTAATGGTCATTCAGTCAGCGTGTGATCAAAACTGAATTTCTGAATTGAATCAAATGTAGTTGAATTGCCAGCCCAACCCTGTCACAAACATCAACCCTGCAGCTTGATTCAAGTCTAATAATACGATCCTACTTTAATGGTCACTTGTTGGACCTCTTCGGAAAGAAATCAGTAATCTTCGAAGTCTTCACGCTTTGCGTGGCTTGCTTGGTGTGTGTCTTCTTGACATGGGTAGCGCGATGGTGACCACGATGAAGTTTGGTATGGCCAAAGTAGTCAGTCACTTTGCTATCGCGATTGTTCAGGTCCAACATTGCGACACGATCCACCAACGACTGCAAGGAGTCAGATGCTGAATCATCAGCACCTTTGTCACTTGGCTTCTCTGAAGATGATTGGTAACCCTCAGACTGGTTTCCACGAACCACAAATTCACCCCTGGCCCACCAACTCACACTGAAGGAATTCAAATCGTTTGGATGGGGACCACTCATCGTCATCATCATGTCATTGCCATCGTCTTTGGGGATGTCTTTGGGATTCAGGGCTTTCAATCGACGAAGCGGGGGTCGTGTTGAAGCTTCGGGCTTGCTCTGATGCTGTGAACTGGTAGTGCGGGTAGATTCCGCGGACAATCCCTGCAACGATGAAGAAGCATTTGCCATGACGATGACAACGATAATCTAAGCTAGCGTCACAGATGAGTTCTTTGAATTTGGGGTTCTTTGGGGTCCGGGTACTAGAACCAAAATGGCTTCTATTCGATTATAATTTGAAAAAATGCGTGTTCCAGAATCTAAGAGGAATCAAATCAAACAGTCTGTTCAGGCGAATTGAAAAAACTTGTTGGTCACCACCAAACACTGCCTGTCTCACTGGCTCCATGTCATGGTGTGGGCCAGAATCTTAGAATCTGACGCAAACAGTGGAGACTAACTAAGTAAGCCCCTGCGACTTTGTTTTGTCCACTGCTATCTGTCTGAGTGCACGGACGACGAGCAGATGCCACAATGCTCTGCCACAACAATGATGTTACCAATGGACCAAATGTCCCATAAACAAACATATTGATTCTGTTTATCTTGTGATTGTGGGTTATATTTTTCTTGTGTCAGAACAGAGGGCTCTCTGGTTGGAAGACACGCAATGGCACCTGACTCACTGCAGCAATGATTACAGAATCCCCCTGAAGCCAAAAACGTACCACAATGAATGAATCAATACAGATAAACACCAGCATAATTATGTCAATAAACCAGCAAATGATTAAAGCACCAATGAATGAATTGAGTTAGTTACTCAGGAAAATGGTGGTGGCCGTGGCACAGAGGATCAGTACGGCGCAAAGCTGCTGCAGCGGTGGGACAACGGCATCTCCTAGTGGTCGTATTTTGGCACACAATTAATAGATTGTTGCGCTGGACGGTGAATCAATTTCATTGCCAATAACTGTAGCTGGAGTAGGGATGGCTAGTCTTACACGGGACCGATCCTAATTTTTACGATGGTCAAAATTGGAAAGGTGAAATTTCAATATCATGCAAAACAACCATCATTAAATGGATTTCACGAGGATTGACCGTTTTTGACAGCAATAATGTTGAAGTTCAAGACTTGGGGATGCATGTTTTATTTAATTATAGAACAATTACCTGCAGAAGATGAAAACGGGAGATATTAAAATTACCCATACATCACAATCAATTAAAAACACAAATGCCCATACATCGCAGAAATAGTTTAAAATTTAGTTAAAGACACTTGATAAAATGAGTGTGTGTGTGTACGACAGAAATGATCAGTCATTTTTACTGCTATACAAAAACTTATGAATAATAACCTTATCCGTATTCCTGCCTTTTCCCTGGTATGCTTCAAGTTCAGCTTACCACTGTACCCCTGTAACCACTTCAAAAAAGAATTTGCCAGCCTGATTTCTGTTTTTTTTGCTAACAAATTTATTTCCACGGCAAATGCGCTATCTTGTTCCTGACTCTATTCTTGGATTTTTGCTGTATGCAGCATATTCTTTTTCTTTTAATGCCTTCTTAAATATTCCTGCCTTGTTTTTGTGTCCTTTCGCTTTTTGAAGCATATCCTGCTTATTCCTTGCCTATTCCTGGCTTGTTCCTGCATTATTTTTTGTGTACTTTGGCTTTCTGAAGCATATTCTGCTTATTCCTGGCTTATTCCTGCCTTATTTCTGCCTTATTTTTGGATTTTGGCTTTCTGCAGCATATTCTGCTTATTCCTGCCTTATTCCTGGCTTGTTCCTGCCTTATTTCTCCCTTATTTTTGGATTTTGGCTTTCTGCAGCATATTCTGCTTATTCCTGCCTTATTCCTGCCTTATTTCTGCCTTAATTTTGGATTTTGGCTTTCTGCAGCATATTCTGCTTATTCCTGCCTTATTCCTGCCTTATTTCTGCCTTATTTTTGGTTTTTGGCTTTCTGCAGCATATTCTGCTTATTCCTGCCTTATTTTTGGATTTTGGCTTTCTGCAGCATATTCTGCTTATTCCTCCCTTATTCCTGCCTTATTCCTGCCTTATTTCTGCCTTATTTTTGGACTTTGGCTTTCTGCAGCATATTCTGCTTATTCCTGCCTTATTCCTGCCTTATTTCTGCCTTATTTTTGGATTTTGGCTTTCTGCAGCATGTTCTGCTTATTCCTGGCTTATTCCTGCCTTATTTTTGGATTTTGGCTTTCTGCAGCATATTCTGCTTATTCCTGCCTTATTCCTGCCTTATTTCTGCCTTATTTTTGGATTTTTCCTTTCTGCAGCATATTCTGCTTATTCCTGCCTTATTCCTGCCTTATTTCTGCCTTATTTTTGGATTCTGGCTTTCTGCAGCATATTCTGCTTATTCCTGCCTTATTCCTGCCTTATTTCTGCCTTATTTTTGGTTTTTGGCTTTCTGCAGCATATTCTGCTTATTCCTGCCTTATTCCTGGCTTATTCCTGCCTTATTCCTGCCTTATTTCTGCTTTATTTTTGGTTTATGGCTTTCTGCAACATATTCTGCTTATTCCTGCCTTATTCCTGCCTTATTTTTGGATTTTGGCTTTCTGCAGCATATTCTGCTTATTCCTGCCTTATTTCTGCCTTATTCCTGCCTTATTCCTGCCTTATTTCTGCCTTATTTTTGGTTTTTGGCTTTCTGCAGCATATTCTGCTTATTCCTGCCTTATTTCTGCCTTATTTTTGGATTTTGGCTTTCTGCAGCATATTCTGCTTATTCCTCCCTTATTCCTGCCTTATTCCTGCCTTATTTCTGCCTTATTTTTGGTTTTTGGCTTTCTGCAGCATATTCTGCTTATTCCTGCCTTATTCCTGCCTTATTTTTGGATTTTGGCTTTCTGCAGCATATTCTGCTTATTCCTGCCTTATTCCTGGCTTATTCCTGCCTTATTCCTGCCTTATTTCTGCCTTATTTTTGGTTTTTGGCTTTCTGCAGCATATTCTGCTTATTCCTGCCTTATTCCTGGCTTATTCCTGCCTTATTCCTGCCTTATTCCTGCCTTATTCCTGCCTTATTTCTGCCTTATTTTTGGTTTTTGGCTTTCTGCAGCATATTCTGCTTATTCCTGCCTTATTCCTGCCTTATTTTTGGATTTTGGCTTTCTGCAGCATATTCTGCTTATTCCTGCCTTATCCTGCCTTATTTTTGGATTTGGTTTCTGCAGCCTTATTCCTCCTGCCTTATTCCTGCCTTATTTCTGCCTTATTTTTGGTTTTTGGCTTTCTGCAGCATATTCTGCTTATTCCTGCCTTATTCCTGCCTTATTTTTGGATTTTGGCTTTCTGCAGCATATTCTGCTTATTCCTGCCTTATTCCTGGCTTATTCCTGCCTTATTCCTGCCTTATTTCTGCCTTATTTTTGGTTTTTGGCTTTCTGCAGCATATTCTGCTTATTCCTGCCTTATTCCTGCCTTATTTTTGGATTTTGGCTTTCTGCAGCATATTCTGCTTATTCCTGCCTTATTCCTGGCTTATTCCTGCCTTATTCCTGCCTTATTCCTGCCTTATTTCTGCCTTATTTTTGGTTTTTGGCTTTCTGCAGCATATTCTGCTTATTCCTGCCTTATTCCTGGCTTATTCCTGCCTTATTCCTGCCTTATTTCTGCCTTATTTTTGGTTTTTGGCTTTCTGCAGCATATTCTGCTTATTCCTGCCTTATTCCTGCCTTATTTTTGGATTTTGGCTTTCTGCAGCATATTCTGCTTATTCCTGCCTTATTCCTGCCTTATTTCTGCCTTATTTTTGGATTTTGGCTTTCTGCAGCATATTCTGCTTATTACTGCCTTATTCCTGGCTTATTCCTGCCTTATTCCTGCCTTATTTCTGCCTTATTTTTGGTTTTTGGCTTTCTGCAGCATATTCTGCTTATTCCTGCCTTATTTCTGCCTTATTTTTGGATTCTGGCTTTCTGCAGCATATTCTGCTTATTCCTGGCTTATTCTTGGCTTATTTTACTGCCTTATTTGTTCCTTGCCTTATTCCTGCCTTATCCCCGCCTAATTTTTGTATGTTTGCTTTCTGCATCCATAGTTTGCCTATTATCGTACTGTTTTTTTAACGCATATTGTTCTTGGCTTATTTCAGCAAAAAATGAATCTACTATGTGAAATTTATTTGTGACATTTTGGCAGCAAACAACAAACGCAGAAAATCCATCATTTGAACCAACCAGTAATAATAATTAATAGTTAATCAGGATTGAATCGTGTTGAACCACTACTGGACTGGATGCCTGTTGTCTAGGTTCTGTCAGATACACATGCCTACGAAATGTCCACGGCCTCTTTAACAGGCCCTTCATCATCACTGTCCTTGATCTTCTCGGGGACCTCGGTCGTACCACCATTGCCCTTGTTGTGCTTGTCCTTGGAATCCAAACCCTTTGACTCGCTCATGTCCGCAGCCTCCTGCTTGGGGGTCTTCTTCTTCTCCTTGTCCTTGTCCTTCATCTTGTCGTCCTTCTCCTTCGCAACCTTCTCCTTGTCCTTCACCTTGTCGTCCTTCTCCTTCTCCTTGTCCTTCATCTTGTCGTCCTTCTCCTTCGCAACCTTCTCCTTGTCCTTCTCCTTGTCCTTCTCCTTGTCCTTCTCCTTGTCCTTCATCTTGTCCTTCATCTTGTCGTCCTTCTCCTTGTCCTTCATCTTGTCGTCCTTCTCCTTGTCGTTCTCCTTGTCCTTCATCTTGTCGTCCTTCTCCTTGTCCTTGTCGTCGCTCGTCTCCTCCTCGCTGTCAGATCGTGGTGCCTTCGCCGTCTTGCGAATCTTGGCTGTTGGAGATGCTGCTGTTGTCTTAGTCTTAAAGATGTTTCCGTCAATGGCTGTGGCTTTGGATGACCCCAATGCCTTGCTGACATACCTTGTGGAGATATTCCGATCGGAGAGGCATTCCAGGGTGTGACAGCCCTTGTGCTCTCCAATTTTCCAAAGGTTTTTCCCAGGAAGAATGAGCTGTTTCTTTGATTCATGATCGATCAACACACTCTTCCCATCAGACAGGACCTTGATGATAGGAGGGATCGGCTGGGGACCAGGGGAATCCACTTCCATATCTGAGAACCCACCCACGTCGGACATGTCGTCAGACTGGTCACTGTCAGACTTGCGGCGCTTGTTGGAGCGGGTGCCAGGAGGCAGAGGTCCTGCAATCGGAAAGGATTACATGAATACACATTTTCACATCGAAATTAAATTCATCCATGACCAATTCAACAAGTAAGTAAAGATTTTCATGGAATCATAGAATTGATGTGTTTCATCTTGAAGCTGGCCTTTGGCCGTCATTCCTTTGACCACCTTTGGACGGTCGGCTCCATGATGAGACTGAGAATCATTTTTGGTCACATTCTTCGACTTGGCAAACCACATTGACAGGGTGCTGGTGTGTGCTCTCTTGTCAAACATGTCTGTGCAATAGGCCGTAGCATCGGTTGCAGCTGTAGACAAGCAGGTGTTGCCGTCAGAGCTGTAGAGGCGAAATGGAGCCATATCCAGTGACAACTTGACCTTGTTACTGGTCTCCTTCTCGATGAGATACCAGTTGGAATCCTTCTTGGTCGGTCCCTGCCGGTGTCAAATGTCGAGCATGTCACATTTTTTTAAATAATGGGAAGAAGGACAATTTCTGACGGACCGATTGTTTTGGGGGCAATTTATTTTATATTCGTGACTTTAAAAAAGCAGCGCACGGTGTTTAAATTCACAAACGACAGAATTCGTCACCAAGCCTGCAACTCATAGTCTACGATTTCCTCAGACTCCTCACCCTCGTCCTCCTCGTTCTCCTGGTCTGATTCCCCAGTGTCAGACGACGAAACCTTGCGCTTGGCCTCAGCCTTCTTCTTCGCCTGCTTTTTCTCGAACTCCAACACCGTGTCTGGCATCTCTGCTGGTTCTCCAAGCTTGCTTTTCTGCCTTGGGCGCTGGGCGCTTTTAATATATATTGATTTGTTTATTTATTTATTTATTTGTTTATATTTATAAATTATATTTATACAGCGGGGATTAAAACGATAGGTCCCCAACCACTCTTTTTGGGGACCTATCGTCTTCATGGTTGGTGAACATAATGTAATAACAAACCAGTTACTATCCACGTTGTGTAAAATCCCTTATTTTATATTTATACATATATATATATATATGTATAATATTTTTAATTTATGGTGTTTTAAAGTTTAATCTCAGACATTGTCCCGTCCCAACACTGTCGTCCAAATATTGATTCATGCCGTCATGACTGATTGGATTCAATTCAGACTGGGATTGGGAATCATAACGTTGTTTGCTTAGCGTCGGCAAACGGTAGGAAAAACCACCCACATGCTGTCGCTTGATCTTGCCCTCTTTGAACAAGGACAGCTGCCAACGCATGAAGCGAGCAATCTCGGTGGGGCCCCATGCGGTGTGTGCCATTGGCTCAGACCGCCTCTCGTATTGCGACTTGGCTGCGTCGAAGACCTCCTGCTTGACTTCCCTGAGCAAGGTCGGGAAACAGTCAGTAGCTGGAAAAACATGTAAAGAAGAAATTACTTACTTACTAAACTACTACTGTTGATTATTAAATGTTGGTCATGGGGGGAAACATAACATCACCAATCAATGACTGAATCAAGTGCTGAGGGTCGAAATTTTGTTATCCTTGGGTAGCCAACCAATGCAGAAAGCTACAGCCATCAGCAACCTGCTTCTGCTTTGGTTTTGCCACACATCACGGGCCCCCCATGTCTTGTCAGTGGCCTCGATCCAATCAACCAAATGGCAATCCTGGGTAGACCGGTGATGTGATGGGCATTTCTAGATAAATAGAACCCCCCAACAAATTAAATTGATTGGGTAGGAAAGGTTAAGACCACTTTGCTGGATAACAAGAACATTGCAAAATTGATTCATGAATTGAATTGAATGGGAAGTATCCACAAAATCTTCGATGAGAACTTGGGAATGGTAATACTCGGTGACAATGCGGCGGGGTCCGGAATTGCTGAGGGCCTTCTCAGACTTAGGTCTGCGACCCTGCTTTGGCTTTGCCTTTGCCGCTTTGGTGCCTCGACGATTGACATTCTCCTCTTTTCCAAGACTTGGGGGCTCATCACCAGGGAACCTGGGAGAGAAAGTGGTTCAATCGTCATAAATTCACTTGAATGGGGGTTTCAAAATTAATTAATAAGTGGTTCCAAGCCCTTTTTCCTGACTCTGTTTTTTTTTTGAATGCCAGAGTCAGGATATTGAATATGGCTTTAATAAAGCAAGGTTTGGAACCCCCATTGATTTTGAAACCCCCATTCAACAGAATCAATTTGTTAAACGTGGGCTAAATTTAAATAGGAACATCATCTGGTAATTTAATTAATTATTGGGTGATGACAATAATGAATCTAAAAGTCTGGGTCAGGTCTTCAGAACCATTGAAAACTGACTCCATGTCAGACATGTAACACATTTGAATCGTCAGACTCTGATGATGCCATTATGCGATGCTTGGGCGCAACCTTACTGGGTGCTGAATCCACTTTTGTTTTTGATCTCACCCTTCGTGGCGGAGGAGGAGGTGCTGCAAACTTGGAGTGTCCCCCCATTGCTCGAACAATGCCCGTACTGAACAATTGGCACGTCCACTCGAATTGAATCCTTGAGGTGAATAAATAATCCAGAGTGAGAACATATTCGTTTTAACTTTTCGTAATACAGTCACAGTCGATCATCTGACAAACACTCAACTAATTGGTTGAATCAGAAGAATCTCAAATCGGTTGGAGACATAAACTGAATTGAATGGACAATCAGATTTTTTTGCCAGGTAAATTACATTTCACTAGGTCTCCAGGTCATGTCTGTGAAAAATCCTGCAGGACTGGTGTCCGGTCCAAATCCAACTGAGCTGACAGTCGGACAGATCCATGCCATCAGAAACAAGTTAATTAACTTTGTTCAATGATTTTACGGCTCAATGATTTGTTTCATCATTCATAATAATAATTATCTCTGGTCTGTCACGGGTGTCAAGGTTTCTCGTCACTGGTCAAGAACCTTGAACGAACTTGAAGCAGCACATCACTACCAGCTGTACACAGGCAGCGGTTGCAAAGTGGAAACTGTTGCCCACTATGCTGGACGCTCGAAGCAAATCTTTAATGGGAATGACGGGCACCCCCATGGACTTTGCCATGGATTCGTTGACAGGGTAGCCAAGGCTGGCCAGCTTTTCTGCAGCAGTAAGCCAGCTCTCTGATTTCACATGCCACATGAATCCATTGTTACGCCTGTAAGTGGGCAGGCGTCTACTGCGAGCTGACCAGCAGAGTCTCTTCTGCGGAGTATCTCCCAAAAAAATGACAAGATCGTCATCAGTGCGGGGATGTGGACCGATGATGGACTGATATTTCGCCAGTGCGAATTTCACACCTTGGGCCTCTCTCAGATTCAGCAAGCGTTTCAAAGAGAACCGTTTGCCGTTCCATGTGTTCTTCACCTGGGCTGAAAACCAAATGTGCAATCTCAGAAATATCGCCGAATAATAAGGAACTGAAATTTTGGGCCCTGAGGTGTTTCCCTAAATTATAGTTATTTTATATCATCATGTCACAATTCATAATAATATTAAACAATATATGTATATATAAAATTAATCATAAACATAACTTCGAACATGTTAAACATGCTATGGAAATACATTAAAAACAGTTTAAACTAGCACAGTCACCTGTTTTGGGAATGGTTTGCCACGTTTGTTGGCACAATATTGTGCATCCCTTAACAGATCGCTCTTTGTCGCAATCAAGTAGTCAGATGGTCGGGTTTGAACCCTTTGCCTGATGTAGGTAGACACCTTTCTGTAAACCACCTCAACATCATGTACCTGGGTGACTTTGTCCTTCAATGTCAGCACAAGGTAAGTACGATCTCTGGCTACTCCACTGTGTCCTTGGTCTGCAGGGCTGACGAAGAGCTGCGTGATGTTGTAATGCCTCCCATAAAGCGTGTTGATCATCGTCATGGAAAGCTCCTAGCAAGTGTCCCCCTGGCTGACTAATTAATTCAGTCAAGTAAACCTGTTTTTAAAACTGAATTTCAATGTGACTTAGTCTTGGACGGGGGTGCCAAAATAAATGTTCTGTGACAGCATTTTTTATTTTTGGGAAAACCTGTAGGGTCAAATTGAATTGGAACCTCCATTCGATGAACAATATACGTCAATGATATTCAATAATAATAATTAATAAATATGTCTTATGCTCATTAAACAAGTTTGAAACATTTTGTCAACACCCTGGTCCGGAACATTTTCGATGAGCAACATTAGCGTCTGTTTGGCGATGTGGTATTTTGCATGCACAGCGAAAACAGTAGAGGTCTGCCCCTCCTCTCTCTGATTTTTTCCGGCCGGACTCATGTCCGGACATGGTAACCCAGAAAAATCGAAATCAGCTGTTTCCTGTGGATCATTACGAATCAATCCGGGAGAGCACTGACGGTTGTGCGTGAAACAGTACTGGTGGGAGTTCAGCTTTGCTCTGTCGATAGCATAAAGGCGTTTCATGAATGAGGACTTGGGGTTGAAGCTCTCAGGGGGCAACATGTCCAAGATGTCTCCATGAATGCACGGTTTGGGGTGTATCAACTCTGTGGTGTTGCTGCACCATGTCGCATGGTCCACAATGAGCTGCCTGCAATTGCTGGATATTTCCTTAGCCGTGGCAGTGGCACGGACTGACAACAGGACATGGAAATAATGATTATCCTGGGAGAGATCTTCTGACTGCATGTATGAAAAAAACAGTTGAATGGTAACCTGGTGTCAGAATATGACAGGTATGGAATGATGTAAATGGAATTCACATTTCTTGTTTGATTGACCCACTGTCTCTTTATTTGGTAAATCTGGTATTTTAAAAAGACACAACTCAATCAAATAAAGTCTCATGGCACCGGATAGGATGGAACTGGACTGGTGCTGTCAGCACTCCAGACTTGTTGACGGTCTTCTCTACCACAGACAAAGCCATTTCCCCACTGTATGAGCCTGTGCAGCTCGATGAGGTATGGAAGATGTGCGTCAGCATCGACTCCTGATCAGGAAGGCTTGATTGATTAGACTAGATTAGTATTAGACATGGTTAGATTGCTCGGGATAGTGAGATTCGGACGAAAATAGTTGTACAGTAATATTTACTAATAGTTACTTAGTTGTGTTGAAGAGGCGTTGATCAATTCTAATCAATCTGGACATGTTTTTTCCAAGACTGTGTCCTCAATCGACTGTGGTCCCAGCAATTTAACTAGCTTCTTCCACGCCAGTTGAACGCAGCGACATGCCTTTTGCAAGCGGCCCTCATGTTCCATGTCCTTCAGCGCACAGACAGACAGAGCTCGTAAAAAAAAAAAACTATTTCAAATTGAAGTGTCAGACAAATTTGACAAAAATAAATGTCCATTATCTTTTTGGTAAAAAAAATCAAATCAAAACAATCATTTGACAATCTTCTCCTGTTCAGGGGATGTGCTAACCGACAGCGCCGACGATTGAGTCCATGTAGGACCAGGCATGTCAGACTCCATTGTCACCCGACTCAGACTTGGGGCAGGCATTGCGCACTGGATCGGACTATGTTTGTTTGCGCAAGACCATGCTGTTGATCAGAATATACATATAATATTATAAAACATACAATCGAAGCTTATTCAATAACCTCATTACTAATCAATAACACGATTTTGTTTGACTTGTTGTTAAAACTTCAACAAACCATGAAGTCATGATGACTCTGTCTGCACGTGTCAAAACCTCAAGATTGCGCTGAGGCATGGACATGTCGGAGGTTGCAATCAAACAGACCAGGGTGAGTCAAGTTTTGTCAGTTTGATTTCGATCTAAACTTAGAAACAAATGTGTCCAAAAAATGTCACACTTCAAAACTGTTGAATCTTTGAAACTTGATATCACAAGCTTGATTAAATTTTAAAATTGACTGTATTAAAATTATTAACTGGCTGACTGGAATCTGAGTCTGAGAGCGGCACCTGCGGTGGTGCCCAACCACCAAGTTGCAAATCCGGTGACCAAAGCCACACAATCTCTGTGGGCCGTTTTCCAACTGTACTGGCATCCATAAAGACCTTATTCAACTGAATCTCGCACTGTCTGTCAAGTTTTGAAAATCAACTCGACTCAACACTATTTGGAATATTTTGAAATATCCAATGTAGTATATCTAGTCTAATATTATTGCAATTTATGATGGCTGGATTCCTTGATTCATGCCAGTTTTTCAATCTCTGCCTGTCCGAGACTGAGACTCGCGCATGAAAAGAGGCACAGTTCTTGAATTTTTCAACGAGTGAGCTGAAGTACACAAACTCAGTAACGGGGTGGAACTGACAGATATTTTCAGCACCATTTTCTCTGAATCAAGTCTGACTGTCGATCTAATAAATAATAAATAGCTTCGTACAGTCTGACAGTTAGCAATAATTAAACTGGAGTTTGATGAATATTTAATCATACTGTCATAAATCAAATCGGTCTCTTCAATACTAAAAGCATAGGTCTGAGTACTCGACCATGGCAAGCAAACTTAATCTAGCATCACGGAGAATCTTGCGCACGTTTCTGGGCAGCTCCCTCACCGCATCGGAAATCAAGAGGAATTCCTGGGCAAACAGTATCTGCCAAATAACACTGTAATCCGTGAAAGAAGTAAAATGGGATTGAAATCTGAAACAACTTTTAATGTGGGGTGGATTACTCGATTTCGGCATCAACTTTATTTACTGTAAATCATGGTAACGAGAAGTACCCCCTCCCCCTAATCAAGTACCCCCGCAACAGTAAAAAATATTTTTGGCACTGGTCCACAGGCAAGAGTCGTTCTGGTTCCATAGCTGGTTTGCTACAGTCTCAACCCAAACTGTTTTCGCAGAACGTGACACCCTGCCCTGGTTCTTGCATGCCATTGCAAGATGATCGTCTAAGTCTTTAACATCCTTGGACATCAACGAGACAGTCTCATCCAGCAGTCGTCCAAACTCACTGAGTAAGTTGAACAGTTCTCTGGATAGTTTTCCTCTCAAATCAACATTGTGTTGTGGGTCACATGAAAAGCACAAAAACTGCGCCAGAGAAATCCGTCCAACACCATGACGTGTTGTCACCCAAGTCTTCTGTTCACTCTGAAAGTCTTTGGCCCACGCACCCCTAGCGTAGCGTGCGTAGAAATCCTGAGTCCATAAATTGGATGAATCCACCCGGCCCCCAGTGTCCACCAGTAAATCAAGGACTTGGTTGTCTTGGCTGCCGATGGGGACATGCTCTAATGCAAAACCACCTAATATAGATGCCACCATGTTGAACACCTGTTCGAATGCAGTGCATGCATGGGCCCGGTCATCTATATTTCGATATTTGTTGGACATAGCGAAGTACATCAAGGACACATACATTGATGTAGAAATAGTGTGCTCCCGGAGCCATACGTCTTGGTCGTGGTCCGCTCTTGCTCGTTTCTTCAGGGAGGTAAACTTGGAATCCAACAAGTCTTCGCAGAACCCAGGCCAAATCAAGTGATGACATTCTTTCACATTCTCAAGGTTGGATCGAAAGTTTTCCAGTAGTTTTTTGGCTCCACCTTTGGTCTTGTAGAAAAGCGACATGGCCTTCGCAGTTGGAACTGTTTATCATCATTAAAAAAGTTGTGGTTTCAGTTTTGAAAAGCAAACGTCCCTAATGGTAACAAACAATCCTGAAACCTTAAAATCAACTTAAATTTTTGTCCACCGTCATCAGCCTCACTTGTAACCCATTGGGTCTGCACAGTCTTCGACTCATAGGCGGTGATGTTGAATCCAGCAATATGTAGAAGGCCTGAGACCAGAATTCGGAATATGTTTTTGTTTTAAGGGTTACATGATAATTAACTTGCGAAAACACAAACCGTGTCAGAGCTGACAAAATTTCGTTGTATCATGTCTGGGGGCTGCACATTTTCGGTCATAGATGGCATCTTCCATGTGATGAGGCCAGGCCTAAATTAACTGACCCAGGTTCCAAACAAAACAAATCATGATGGCATACCAAATAAATAAATAAATAAATAAATAAATATATATATATGTTATATTTTTTGTAACAAGTGTAGCGTCATATTTTCCAGTGAAAGAATAACACCTGAAGCAGCCACGGACAACAAAACCTGAGGGTTGGGCCCAGCTTTGCAGGCCAATGCCATACAGGTACCCAACCAACCACCACAACATAGGTGATTGACCAACTTGAACCATGCTGCAGCGAGACTTCCCCTGTCTGTCACCCTTGGGAGTGATGATGTTCAGTCTTGTGATCACGTTTCTTCTCTCATGGTGCAGATTTTTTCTGCAATAAACGTGTTCCAGCGCACTCTTCCCATGACATGGATCATGAATAACATGAAATTATGAGTCTTTTGGAACAAGGATCATCTAAAGCTTATTCCTGGCTTATTCCTGCCTTATTTTCTGATGATGACAGATTTCCAAAATAACACAGGAATAAGTAACTATGGAGGGGGGGGATACTTAGGGGGGGGGCTGTTTCGGCTCCCATGAAATGAAATTTTGCTCCGCAATGACGGTTGAGATAAGTACTTACCACAGTTTGATATCATCATCATATATCCTACATCAACCAAATCCCTGAAAAACGCGGGTCGAGCTATCAAAACCTGGTTTTGAGCTAGTTTCTGCGAAAAAAACAAGGTTTTAGTCAACAAAACTTAGGATGGCCGTTTGGGCCTGTGACTGTCTCCCGGCAAAATGTAGTGATTTTAAGCCAAACCCAAGAAAAGTCATTTTTCGGCATTTCCCAAAAAAGTATTTTTTTGAGATTTCATCATTTTTTTAAGTTTCTGAAACCGCAAAAAATGCATTTTTCCAGGCTTTGCAATTTTCCAAGGTTTTGCGACCTCCCAAAAAAACAGTAAACTATACGAGGGATGGCCCGAGAGCGTAGAGGAGCAGAGTCTTCTGTTGTTAGTATGGAGGCACTATATTACAAGACAATATATTAAAGATGTATTATAGGCAGACGAGAAGAGTAGTATCAAGACAATATATTCCAAGTACAAGACGATAGTTTGCATCGTATCTTTCGTAAAGTTTTTCACACACAGAACTTTTTACAGACAGACGCTTTTGCACACAAACACTTTTACACACACAGAGACTTTTACACACAGACGCTTTTGCACACAGAAGTTTTTACACACAAACGCTTTTACACACAGAGGCTTTTACACACAGACGCTTTTACACACAGAAGCTTTTACACACAGAAGAATTTACACGCAGACGCTTTTACACACAGACGCTTTTACACACATGCAGACACTTTTGCACACAGACGCTTTTACACACAGACACTTTTACACACAAACACTTTTACACACAAACACTTTTACACACAGCGACTTTTACACACAGGCGCTTTTGCACACAGAAGCTTTTACACACAGACACTTTTACACAAAGACGCTTTTACACACAGACGCTTTTACACACAGACGCTTTTACACACAAACGCTTTTACACACAAAAGTTTTTACACACAGACGCTTTTACACACAGAAGCTTTTACACACAGACGCTTTTACACACAGACGCTTTTACACAGGGACGCTTTTACACACAGACGCTTTTACACACAGACACTTTGACAAACAGACGCTTTTACACACAGACGCTTTTACACAGAGACACTTTTACACACAGACACTTTTACACACAGACGCTTTTACACACAGACGCTTTTACACACAGAGGCTTTTACACGCAGACGCTTTTACACACAGACGCTTTTACACACAGACGCTTTTACACAAAGACGCTTTTACACACAGACGCTTTTACGCACAGACGCTTTTACACACAGACGCTTTTACACACAGACGCTTTTACACACAGACGCTTTTACACACAGACGCTTTTACACACAAACACTTTTACCTTTACACACAAACACTTTTACACACAGAGACTTTTACACACAGACGGTTTTGCACACAGAAGCTTTTACACACAGACGCTTTTACACATAGACGCTTTTACACACAGAAGTTTTTACACACAAACACTTTTACACAGAGATTTTTACACACAGACGCTTTTACACAGAGACGCTTTTACACAGAGACGCTTTTACACACAGACGCTTTTACACACAGACACTTTTACACACAGATGCTTTTACACACAGACACTTTTACACACAAACACTTTTACACACAAACACTTTTACACACAGAGACTTTTACACACAGACGCTTTTGCGCACAGAAGCTTTTACACACAGACGCTTTTACACAAAGACGCTTTTATACACAGACATACACAGACGCTTTTACACAAAGACGCTTTTATACACAGACGCTTTTACACACAGACGCTTTTACACACAGACGCTTTTACACACAGACACTTTTACACACAGACACTTTTACACACAGACGCTTTTACACACAGACGCTTTTACACACAGACGCTTTTACACACAGACGCTTTTACAGACAAACACTTTCACACACAGAGGCTTTTACACACAGACGCTTTTACACAGACGCTTTTACACACAGACGCTTTTACAGACAAACACTTTCACACACAGAGGCTTTTACACACAGACGCTTTTACACACAGACGCTTTTACACGCAGACGCTTTTACACAAAGAAGCTTTTACACATAGAAGCTTTTACACACTTCGCCGGACAACTTGGAAATCGCAATGTTACCTCAGTTTTTGGCGATCGAACCTCATTTCGTGCGAAAGGGTTGCGCCGGACAAGTTGAAATCGCAATTTGACCACAGTTTTTGGCGATCGAACCTCATTTCGTGCGAAAGGGTTGCGCCGGACAAGTTGAAATCACAATTTTACCACAGTTTTTGGCGATCGAACTTCATTTCGTGCGAAAGGGTTGCGTTTCGTGCCGTCTCGTTGGCACTGCCCCTGACCCCCGCCTTCAAGAGAGAAATAGAAAAGAAGGAGAGGGCAAGAGGGCAAGAGGACGAGAGGAGAAGATGTGAAGATGTGAGGATGTGAAGATGTGAGGGTGAGAAGATGTGAAGATGAGCACCTGTGAAGATGTGAGGATGTGAAGATGAGAAGATGTGAAGATGTGAAGATGAGAAGATGTGAGGATGTGAAGATGGGAAGATGTGAGGATGAGAAGATGTAAAGATGAGTAGATGTAAAGATGAGCAGATGTGAAGATGAGCAGATGTGAAGATGAGCAGATGTGAAGATGAGCAGATGTGAAGATGAGCAGATGTGAAGATGAGAAGATGTGAAGATGAGCAGCTGTGAAGATGTGAGGATGTGAAGATGTGAAGATGTGAAAATGAGAAGATGTGAAGATGAGAGGATGTGAAGATGAGAAGATGTGAAGGTGAGAAGATGTTTTGCAGACCCCCACTATTGGAAGAACCCTGCGCTCAGACGCTCTCGGGAAAAATGCATTTTTCCAGGTTTTTGCAATTTTTCTAGGGTCTGAGATCAGGACGGATGGCGTTGGATAGCGTTGGGGCCTTCCCGCAAAGAAGAAAAATGCATTTTTCCAGGTTTTGCAATTTTTCCAAGGTCTTTCGACCTCCCGCAAAATAGCAAAAAATGCATTTTTCCAGGTTTTGCAATTTTTCCAGGGTTTGGGATAAGGACGGGTAGCGTTGGATAGCGTTGGGGCCCTCCGCAAAGCAGCAAAAAATGCATTTTTCCAGGTTTTGCAATTTTTCCAAAGTTTTGCGACCTCCCGCAAAACAGCAAAAAATGTTTTTTTCCAGGTTTTGCAATTTTTCTAGGGTCTGAGATAAGGACGGATAGCGTTGGATGGGGCCTTCCCGGAAACCAGAAAAAATGCATTTTGCAGGTTTTGCAATTTTTCCAAGGTTTTGCGACCTCCCGCAAAATAGCAAAAAATGCATTTTTCCAGGTTTTGCAATTTTTCAAGGGTTTGGGATAAGGACGGATAGCGTTGGATAGCGTTGGGGCCCTCCCGCAAAGCAGCAAAAAATACATTTTTCCAGGTTTTGCAATTTTTCCAAGTTTTGGCCCTCCCGCAAACCAGCAAAACAGCAAAAAATGCATTTTTCCAGGTTTTGCAATTTTTCTAGGGTCTGGGATAAGGACGGATAGCGTTGGATAGCGTTGGGGCCTTCCCGGAAACCAGCAAAAAATGCATTTTTCCAGGTTTTGCAATTTTTCCAGGGTTTGGGATAAGGACGGATAGCGTTGGATAGGGTTGGGGCCCTCCCGCAAAGCAGCAAAAAATGCATTTTTCCAGGTTTTGCAATTTTTCCAAGTTTTGGCCCTCCCGCGAACCAGCAAAAAATGCATTTTTCCAGGTTTTGCAATTTTTCTAGGGTCTAGGATAAGGACGGAAAGCGTTGGATAGTGTTGAAGC